CCTGGTGTGGCGCTGTGGGTTAATGCGTCAGACTGCTAAGTCTTTTGAACTGCAAGGTCGGTGGTTCAAGCTCACCAGCTACTCCTCGGAAACCCTATACAGGGTTGCTATGGGTCAGAATCGACTCGACAGCACTTAACAACAGCAACAACAACAACAATAGTGTGGTAGGAGCTCTGGTAGCTTAGCGGTTATGAATTGGGCTGCTAATCTCAGGGACATCAGTTTGAAACTACCAGCTGTTCCACAGCAGAAAGATGAAGCTTTCTGTTCCCATAGACTTACAGCCTCGGAAACCCTGTACAGGGTCACTATGAGTTAGAATCGACTCCACGGCACATTACTGCCACCAATGGTGTGGTGCTGCGGGTTAATGCACTGGACTGCAAAGTCGGTTTGAACCACACAGTCGGTGGTTCAAGCTCACCAGCCGCTCCTTGAAAACCTCATGCAGAGTTGCTGTGGGTCGGAACCGATTTTACAACACTTAAGAACAACAACAACAAATGTGATGGCTGGAATTTCAGTTGCCTTGACAGGGCCAGACCAAATGATTTCAAGGGTCTTCTATGGCCCGCAGTCTGGATGTTCTCCACCCCTGTCCTAGAACTTGATCCAGACAGATATGAAGGGGGTCTGCTGTATTCATCCCTATCTCTTTGGAGACCACGGTGCCTGGCGCATCATAGGTGTTTAGTGACAATGTGTTGATGATGATGTTGGTGATGATGGTGTGGTGGTGAGGGTAAGGAGAAGTAGGGTGGCAGGGGGAGGGTGCTCTCTCATGTCCCCCATTCTAATTCTTTTGAGTTTTGGCTCTGTGCTGGCCCTAGCCCAACCTTGGGAGACTGCCAGTTTAGTTTAAGCCCATTGACCTATGTAAGGCTTGTCCTCTGCCTTTGACACTCATTTCCCAGCCTGAGTTCAAGGGCCAGGTCTTGCTTGGGGAAGTTTTGATGGAAAAAAGTCAAAAGCAAGTGCTTCCCCTAGCTGGGGATCAAATCCCATGGTGGGTCTATCTCTGTTCCCTGTCCTTGACTTTTCTTTGAGAAACCTCAGTTGTTGATGGCAGAGTGAAGTGGGCCTTCATGTTTTCACACAGTCTTTGCCTGCACCAGGGACTTGGGCCCACAGAGGGTAAAAGGCTTTGCCCAGAATTACACAGCAAGTTAGTGTCGGAACAAGGAGTTAAATAACTCCCCAAACCAAAGGAAGCACTGAGCATCTAAGAGGGGACTTCAAAAAGTTCGTGAAAAAATTCCAATATCTTTTCATTTCATTTTTCCATGAACTTTTTGAAGCCCCCTGGTATTTGTTGTGATGGGATATTTGGCAGTGAATATTAGTGATGGTTGGACACGCACAGAGAAACACAAATAACTTCCTAAATTAGCACATGGAGTCCTGGGTAGTGCTATAGGATAAGCCCTGGACTGCCAAATGAAAGATAGCTCAAACCTATCAGCTACTCCATGGAAACCCTATGTTGTTGTTAAGTGCTGTTGAGTCAGTTCTGACTCATAACAGCTCTGGTGTGGCGCTGTGGGTTAATGCACCAGACTGCAAAGCCATTTGAACTGCAGATTGGTGATTCAAGCTGCTCCTCGGAAACCCTCGCTATGGGTTGGAGTTGACTCAACGGCACTTAACAACAACAACATAGGGTTTCTGAGGGGCTGGTGGGTTTGAACCATGACCTTGAGGTGAAGAGTCCTGTGCTTATCCTATACAAGGTTGCTGTGAGTCAGAACTGACTCTATGGCTCTTAATAACAACAACAAACCAGAGCATGTCCCATAAATACTAAACCTTAGTCTCCTTTCATTAAAATTACTTGCAGGTTTTTTTTTTTGCATTTGCCTCTGAGTGATGTAAACCCCCTGGGGCTCAGGGAATCTCTGAGGCCAAAGGTGAGGCTCCCCCTCCCTCTGGATTACAGTTTTACTCATAACTCAGCAGTATCTCAGTTCTTTCATGGGATCCTCTTCCCCACCCCTAGAAGCCCACCAGGGATCACCCCAAAGATGTTGTCATTGTTAGCTGCAGAGCCTATCCCCAATTAATGGCAACCTCATGCACAATGGACCCTTGTGACCCATGTGGTTTTCACTGGCTGATTTTTGAAAGTAGATGGATGGCCAGGGCTTTCTTACTACTCTGTTAGTCTGGAAGTTTCACTGAAATCTGCTCAGCATCATAGCAACTTTTGAAAGTCTTCAGTGACAGACAGGTGATGTCTACAATAGAGGTGCACTAGCCAGGAACAAAACCCAGGTCTTTGTGTTGTTGTTGTCAAGTGCTGTCAAGATGGTTGTGACTCATATCGACCCTGTATAGGGTTTCCAAGGAGCAGCTGGTGAGCTTGAACCATTGACCTTGCAATTCAAAAGGCTTTGCAGTCTTGTGCATTAACCCACAGTGCCACATCAGGACTCCAGGTCTTCACGGAAGGCAAGAATTCTACCTGTGAGCCACCATTACTCCCACCCAGGGAATAAACAGGGTGTAGAGGCTAGAGTCCTGGTGTGGCACTGTGGGTTAATGCACCAGACTGCAAAGCCATTTGAACTGTAAGGTCGGGGGTTCAAAATCACCAGCTGCTCCTTGGAAACCCTATACGGGGTCATTATGGGTCGGAATTGACTCAAAGGCACTTAACAACAACAAAGGCTAGTGCATGCCTAGATTCTCATGTCCTTCAGACTACAAGCTCCTGGGTGTTCTGATTCAGTTTATCTTTGCTTTATCCTTGCCAGGGGCTAGAACTGTGTCAGACACTTTCAAATCCCTCACCTCCTTTACTCCTCACATTAGATTTCTACTGCACAGTGCTGTTTTGAGATTCACTTACCTCCTGTGCTGGTGGTGGTGGTGGTGGTATGCTGTGGAGTCGGTTCCAACTAATAGTGACCCTGCATAAGGTTTCTGAGGCTGTAAGTCTTTTCCGGAGCAGAAAGTCTCATCTTTCTCCTTAGGAACGGCTAGTAGTTTCAAACTGCAGACCTTGAGGTTAGCAGCCCGACATGTAACTACTATGCTACCACAACAATTCCTTTACCTCTTGGAGTTAAATAATATTATTCTCATTTTAGGGAAACTGAGGCTCAGAAAACTTAAAGTGAACTGCTCACTGTCATTTTTCTGTAGCTCATGCATTTGAAATCAAGTCCATTAAATCCAGGTCAATCCTAATCCCTAGAGACCACAGAAACATAACTAACAATACCTCACATTTAAATATGAAGTGCCTAGTCCTGGCATGGTGCTGTGGGTGGTTTGAACCACAAGGTTGGTGGTTCAAGCTCACCAGCCCCTCCTAAGAAACCCTATACAGGATCCCTATGAGTTGGAACTGACTCATGGCACTTAACAACATCACTTTGCAAAATCTGCTTCTCAAGTTTCCTGAGCACACTTTTCACACTGTGTTTTAATTACCTTGTTCCACGGCTAATGATAGCTATAAAGACAGTGTACTAGATGCTATGCTACTGCGTTGACATAAATGGCTTGCACTTGTCTATTAACTGAAAGGTTTGCAGTTCAAACCCACCCAGCCATGCTGCGGAAGAAAGATATGGCAATCTCCTTCCTTGAAGTTTACAGCCAAGAAAACCATGTGGGCAGTTCTACTCCATACCACAAGGGATTGCCATGAACTGAAGTAGACTGAGGACAAGTGTGTGTGTGTGTGTGTTTGTGTGGTTGTTGGTGTGTGTGTTCTGCCCTAAATGGGAAGGGGAGGGAGCAAGTAATTATCTGGTGAAGTTAGGGAAGGCTTCCAGGAGGAGGTGATAATTGAGTTGGCCTTGAAGGTGGGCCCTCCTGGCAAAGGCATGGTATTGTGTCCTGGTTGGCTTGGCAGGTCCTGGAACAAACACGGCAGAAGAAACAGGTTGGGGCCAGATAGTGCTGGACCTTAAAAGTCACATAGAGAGGTTAGGTCCCAGCCACCATAGGAGGTGTTCCATTGAGAAGGGTAGACTAAGGGGTTCTCTTCAAAGCAAGCCCTAGAGCTACTGGCTAACATGGTGACCATAATCTTTGATTTGATCACTTGAAATCCAGCTAGTGCCACAGAAGAATTTAGATCTAGTGGCTACTAGAAAATGTAAAATGATAATCGAAGGTTGTCTTATGTTTCTGTTGGAAACTGTGTTGGTGTGAGATTCTGTTCCATTCAGTTGGAACTGGAAGACCCCTCTAGTGACGCTCATGCTGGTAGTCAGTACCCCTTCTCACCCCCACCTGAGGAATTCTGCTCTAGAAAGGTCCCTCTGGCTATGGTGCAGAGGCAGGTGGGAGCAGGTGGGCCTGAGACCAGGCATTCGGACCACTGGCATCACCCAGACGAGGTCAGAGGCCTGGTTTTAGCCAGTGGCCACAGGGGATTCCTCTTAGCTAGGACAATCCTCCCCTGAGCATTTCCTTTCAGGGCTAGCACCCACTGAGAATACCTCTGCCCTGCTCCTAGCCAGCAGACCCAGGGAGGCCCCTCGGCTTGGCAGCGAGCAGGACATACAAGTGCTGGGCTGAGCTCTGAAAGAGTGTCTCTTTGGGGAGATGCCAGCTTTTCTGGAAGCCAACCTCCAAGGATTAACCCTACACCCACTCTGGAGACCGCAGAAATGCCCCCCGGAACAGAAAATAGCCCAACTTGGTCACTGTTGGTATTCCTTCCAGGATGAGGGCCAAGACTGAATGGGAGAATTTCAGGGTAATAGGAAAGCATTTTCTTTGTAATTTGCCTCTCCTTTTTTGATCAAACTGCATTATGTATGTGTGAGTACTTTTTGTTCCTATTTATACTAAAGGGTTTTTAGGGATTGTGCATTCCTTTTGGGCAGGGGGAGTGGGAAAGAGAAGACATAGTCACAAGACCTCTTTTCAGGAAAACTCATTGTGCCTGAAGCAGAAACTGTCCCCTGTCAAGCACCTGAATGCTCTGCAAAGCTGACACTCTCAGGCAGGGTGGGGCAGGCCTGTTGGCTGGTGCCTACCTTGACTATGTCCTCGTTAATGTTCTTGGGGTCTCGGTTCACCAGGTTGATCTCTTTGCAGTGGATGTCCTTGATGATTTGTGCTTCGAGGTCGAGGTCCTTGTGCTCTTCGGCCATCATCGCCGGTATGGGTAGACCCACCAGAGGGGACTTGCGTGTGTTGCCAGCGGGGCTGACAGCACTGGGGACCAGCTCAGTGTCCCCAGACTTGTGCCCCTGCCGACTAAATAGGCCCCACCCAGCATGCCTGCTGACAGCTGTCCCACATAACTTCAGCCTGCCTCTAGCTAAAGCTGGCTGTGGCAGGCCTCCAAGCTAAAATTAAGACTGGAGTTCTGTGGGAAGGCTGGACACTCCTTAAAGGAGGCTGCTGGGCGCGCGCCTCACGCGAGATTGCAGAGACCTGTTATTCCCAGAGTGTCCCACGGCAGGCATAACTTTGGGGACTGGGCCCCTGGAATGTGCTCCACTGCTGTCAGTATAAAGGGATTCTGGGAGAAGAGGCCTGGGGGTGGGGTGAGGTGAGGCAAGCTTCGTCCCCAACTCTGGTTCTTGCTGGCTGTGTGACTTTGGGTGCACTTCACCTCTTTGGGCCACAATGTCCCCATCTTTAAAATGGGTCATAGTGATAGCCATCAGTCAGGGCCCTGCCCACCCTTTGTGGAAGGGAAGAACCAGCTAGTGTGTGTGAAAAAGGCTATGGAAACCGAAAAATGATCTCTTGGATTCAATATGTCACACCCTTCTCTCTGACCCCCAAGGGACCTCCTTCTGAACAGACCATACAGAATCCTTAATCATGTTTATTACAACTTCTAATCAGAGAATGTTGTTGTTGTTATGTGTCGTAGAGTCAGTTCCGACTCCTAGTGACCCTGTACAGGGTTTCTGAGACTCTAAATCTTTACGGGAGCAGAATGCCTCATCTTTCTCCCTTGGAACAGCTGGTAGTTTCGAACTGCTGACCCTGAGGTTAGCAGCCCAATTTGTAACTACTACACTGAATAATATGTGATAAATGTAGTTGTGAACTGCTTAAAATGTATAGTTTTTTAGATGATTTGGATGCTGACAACAAAATTGCTTTATAAAATCTTTCTACATTGAATCACAGCATTGTTAGTTACAATATGATTAGTAACTGAGCGGAAAACTACTTTGAGTTTTCTCCTTCTTTTCCTTTAATTACTGCTTCATTCTCAAAAAGTTACTGATAGGAGCTCTTAACTCAGTACCACAACAATATTGTAGTTAAAACCCCAGTAAATTTGACAAAATCAAGGACTATAAAAACATTTGCAACAATGAACCAACAGTAACAACAGGTAACAATGACACTTCTGCCCCATAAGTGAACTGTTGTTAATAACTGCCGTCAACTCTGCAAGATGTTGACCCTGTAGACGGTTTCCATGGAGCGGCTGGTGGGTTTGAACTGCGACCTGAGGTTTGTAGGTCAGGGCTGATCCTACAGCTCCATACCAGAAAGTGCATTGTTGTTGTTAAGTGCCATTGAGTCGGTTCCCACCCATAGTGACCTTGTATAGGGTTTCAGAGGAGTGGCTGGTGAGTTCGAACTGCCAACCTTGGTGTTCAAACCAACTTGTGGTTTAGCGCTGATCTTACAGTTTCACACCAGGACTCATTAGAAGATTCAAAAAGGAAATAAGGATAGAGTTTTAGCCTTGAAGGCATATTGATACATGTAAGCTGGGCTTATGAAAAATGTTTTTGTTGTTATAACTGTAACTAAATTTTCTGCTGAAACACTGGACAAAATTTTTTTAGACACTCATTTTGGTGCCAACCGCTCTGAGAGTGTCATCTAGTGTAGTCTGCACCCCAGTACTCCCCCTGTGATACCAGTGATCTGGTAAGAGTTCATGCTGGAGCTTGTGTTTTCTGGCCTAAAACAGTCCTGGGGCTTTCTGCTGGGGAGGTGTTACTAGACTGTGGTGTAGGGTGGAACTGGGGATGATGAGTCAGGGCAAGAAAACCACTTGTGGGGTTGCCTACTCTTCCCTGCCTCTCTTGATGTGTGAGCCTACCTGCAGAACTGGTGGCTTGGTGGGGATGTGCGGGCCTTGGTTATGGTGTATTTTACCCCTAAGAATCTCTGTGGGTCCAGAAGATGCGCATGTGTCAGCAGGGCATACCTCTCTTGCTCAGTTTTCTGTTTCCTCATCCAACTCGATCATCACTTGAGGTCCTAGCAATGTGAATGAAGGATGAAGATTCTGAACAAGGTCAAGACTTTTCTCTCACACACACAGCACACATAGTTCAGAGGCCATTCAGAACTGCCACGGCAGCGCCTCTGTATTAAGCACCCCATCTTTCCGTTCTGCTCTTTTCAAAGTCATCTCATGGGCACAAGATGGCGCTGCTCCTGCAGCATATCTGGTTCCAGACAAGAAGTAAGAAGAATGGGTGATGGCAGGAAAAAAGGCATCTTCCAGCCAAGCTGACGCTATTAGGACACTTTCCTGAAGTCCTACCCAACAACCTCTGCTTCTATCTCCTTGGCCACCTGTCTTGGCATGTTGTTGATGTTAAGTGCCGTTGAGTCGATTCTGACCCATAGTGACTCTGTATAGGGTTTCCAAGGAGCAGCTGGTGAGCTTGAACCACCGACCTTGCAGTTCAAACAGCTTTGCAGTCTGGCACATTAACCCACAGTGCTACACCAAGACTCCTGTCTTGGCATAGGAGGCTGGAAAATGTCGATTTTTAGCTAAATGGGTTGTCAGTCCCCACAGTGGGCTAAATCAGTAAAGATTAAGGGGAAGTGATTAAAAAATTTTTGCTGTAGAGTGAATTCCAACTCATGACAACCCCATGTGTGTCAGAGTAGACCTGTGCTCCACAGAGTTGTCAATGGCTGAGGTTTTGAAAGTGGCTCATTATTCTTATGAGGCAGCCCTGGGGGTTCTTGATCATCAGCCTTTTGGTTAGCAGCCAAGTTCATTACCATTTGTACCAACCAGGAACTCCAGGGAAAATGGTACACAACTTGAAAACTGCCACTAAGTCCTTAGGAGTTATTATTGTTATTGTTGTAATTGTTATTGTTGTTGTTGTTTTCCTATTCCCCTACCTCATTAAATTTCAGAGAAATTTGAAAGACAGCTACCTGGCTAAACAACTGGAAGAGATCCATATTTGCGCTTATTGCAAACAAAGGTGACCCAGTGTAATGTAGAAATCATGAACAACGTCATTAATATCATAAAAAGTTTTGATGACAATAATTCAAAAACAGTTGCAGCAATGCATTGACAGAGAACTTCCAGAACTTTAAGCAGGATTCAGAAGAGGTAGAATGAGGGATATCATTGCTGATATCAGATGTCCTTGTCTGACATCAGAAAAGTAGCTCAACTGAAGAAACCAAAGAAAGGAGCTGAGGTCCCCAGCTGAGAGCCAACATTAACTGTCAGACATGGAGTGGAAGAAGTCCCCGCCCTAGTCTTCAAGACACTCCTAGCCTTCAGGTCTTCTAGTCTAAGCCCCAGATACTGTGGAGACAGAGCTGTTTTCTCTGTGTCCTGTTTAAATATCTAACTCACAGAGCCCTTGGGCAAAATAAGTTTTTAATGTCATTGAATTTCCAGGCAGTTAGCTTTGTGTTCATGTTGTTGTTGTTGTTGTTAGGTGCCATTGAGTCGGTACTAACCCATAGCGACCTTATGCTCATAGTAACTGTGAAATGAGTGATGATGACAGCAGCATCTACCAATTGTTCTGCGTTCACTGTATGCTAAGGCCCCTTGGTATGTGCAAAGTAATTTAGCTCCTTTGTTGTGTTTAGTGGTGATGGTGGTTATATGCTGTGGTAGAGTCCGGTTCAAGTGTTTCTGAAGCTGTAAATCTTTATGGGAGCAGAAAGCCTCATCTTTCTCCCTCAGAACAGCTGGTAGTTTTGTACTACTGTCCTTGAGGTGAGCAGCCTGACTTGTAGCCACTAGGCTAGCTGCTTCTATCTGGTGTTCAATGCTGAGGACCAAAGGTGGGGGGCAACTCATGTCGGTTTTAGGTTTTACAGGAGGAGCAGGAGGAGGCAGAGAATGCTTTCTGGTGGTGATGGTGGTGATGGTGTACGTGGAGTCAGCTCCGACTCACAGTGACCCTGCATGGGGTTTCTGAGGCTGTAAATCTTTATGGGAGCAGACAGCCTCACTTTTTTGCCACTGAACTGTTGGTAGTTTCAAACTGTTGACCTTGATGTTAGCAGCCCACCTCGTAACCACTATTCTAGGAAGTGGCATTTCAGTTGGGCAGAGGGATGGATGGAATCAGAGAGGCCGAATGGAAAGGGCCAGATGCCAGAGGCTGAGAAGGAGATGCCTCTCATTTCATTGAGGTAATCCTATTTTCAAAGACTATGCAGTGGAGTCTTGGGGTGGCACTGTGGGATAAGCTAACCATCAGGTAGTGATTCAAATCCACCAGCCACTCCAGAAACCCTATACAGGGTGGCTATGAGTCGGAACCTACTCAACAGCACGTAACAACAAGAACACATAGAGTGGGAAGAACACATCACCCAGGAATCCTTAGTCTTGAAGTCTTGTCTGGGTCCCATCTCTGTGACCTTAGATAAGCCCCTTGCCTTCTCTGTGTTTCTGTTTCCTCACCTGCCAAATGTGGATGTTAACACCAGTCAGTACCCCTCACACAGTGCTTGTGTACCTCACATACCATGAGAAAAAGATGGAGCACAGGAGGTTTTCTGTACCCATGGGTAAAATGCTGGAAGAACATGCTGAACAATGAAACTTTCAAGTCAGCCCTGGGTGGTGCTTCTGACCAGAGCACACAACACAGTAAAGGAGGGAGAGTGACTTCCTCAAACCCTGCCGGGGTGTAAGGGAGGACTCAGTGTTCTTATTTTAAAGGCAGTTCTGTTGTTGCTTGGCTTGCTAAGAGAGGAAAAAAAAAAAACAAAAACAACCCTTTAGAAATGGGATGTGCAGGAGGAAATAAGTTTGTGGAGTGTGAAGAGGAAAACGGAAAGATTACATAGGCAACTCACCCAGACTCTCCACTCCACGGTCCAAAGAGTCAATTAACTGCCAAATGTAGAGCTGCTGTTAACCTGTAAGATTTATCATTTATGCAGGAATCTCAAGGCAGGTCGGGCTAGAATGAGTAGCAGAAAAAGAAAGCTTTGTTCCTAGG